CCAAAGATGTAGAGAGAACTGAAGGTAATTTACGTTTCCGCTTCCAAGAGCGTATTCGCTTAATGTCTTCGTCAATAATTGAGTTATTAGGGATAATAATTTTTGGCTATAACCTAGCAGTTGATTCGAATACTCTACTTTCAATAGATGGAAGACCAGCTTCTGCAAGGGTGTTTTTAATTGTTGTTGTACGGTATGCATACACACTAGCTCTAACTGCTTGATGATACAAGGGTTTTATCAGACTAAGAGTTGATTTTGCACAGTTTCCATATAAATATAAACCGTAGTCGATCTTGTTTAAAACTAAGGCTTTAACTAAGTATGAAAGTGTATTAATGTGGGTATAAGTTTTTCGTGATAAATAGCATATTAGATTTGTTCTTACAGCAAGTGATTTTTTCATATCCAAACATTGATCTTTCCAACAATATCTATGTGAAAATGTTAATCCAAGAATTTTTAGTTTTTCGACGTTTTTAATTAAATGGGTGTTTATGTGAATATCTCTGCTATAGGCGTCACAAAAATGCTTTCTACAAATGTGAAATTATTTTGACTTTTGATATGAAATTTTGGCTCCTGACAAATTACACCAACTGGATATATCTTGAAGAATGTTTCTCAGAAGTTCATTAGTTTCCACATTATCATTTTTCTTGCACAATATAAAAAGATCATCAGCATAAAGAAAATGATCAACGTTAGGAGATTTGACAATTATGCTGCTTATTTCGTTGAAAGCTATTTGAAAAAGTATAACAGACAAGGGCGAACCTTGCGGGATGCCGTTGCTCAATGGATAAATGTTAGAATAAGCATTATTTATTCTTATATGGAATCGCCGGTTAGACCGAAATGATTTTATGACATGAAATATCATATTTAGAATATCATTATTAGAATATAGAAACTTAAAAATAACATGTGAACCGATTCGATCAAAAGATTTTTCGAAATCTTTCGTTTGGCGATTCTACCGAACCGATTTCAAAACCAAGAACACCGTTGGAAAGGCATTTTTCCGTAGATGAGCGTTTATGGCTTCACAATTGGTTGAAAATTACGGCCAAACCCGTCGTTTAAACATTTTCGAATTGTGTATAGATGTTGCTGCAACATGTTCAATTTGACATGTTTCGCCTGTTGTTTCACTAAACGTTTGAAATTAAGCTTTGAAATAAAGATAAATATGAAGATGAAGAAATAAATGATAACGATGAAGCCAAAAACAAAGAAGGCAAATGTGAAGATAAAGACGAAAATGGAGACAATGACAGATACATAAGAATTAGGGTAACTAAAAGGGTAAGAACATTTCTTGAATTTATGAAGTGAAACTTCTTTAGCGGCAGTTGGTTGGTTGGGAGTAAATTGTCAAATTCAAGGGGAATAATGCACATGGAAATAGTTCTCAGCGGTTTAGCGGCTTGAGAATAAAAACAAAAACAAAGATGCCTTGAGGTACAGGCAAAAACGAAGATCAAAGTAAATTTAAACACTTTAAGGTAATGGTGAAGAGGAATATGCAAAAATAAATATAAATATGAAGCAAAGGATGAGGATGAAGATCGATATAAAACTCGATGTTTTTATCGATATAATAATCGATATTGCTATCGATAAAATAATCGATATTGTTATCGATACTGTTATTGATTAAATAATCGATATTGTTATCGATACAATAATGGGTATTGTTATCGGTATAATAATCGATTAAACAATTGATTTTGTTATCGATTTAGTCATTTATATTGTTAACGATATGTACAATAATCGATACTGATGATTGTTATATTTATCGATTAATTTATCGATTTTACAATCGTTGTATTTTTCTATATGTTTATGGATATTTGTATCGGTATTTTTATCGACACAGTTATCAACAGGATTATCGATATACTAATCGGAACATGGAATGTGATCACACTACATGATATCACATCACATTTTATCACATGATATGAAGAGACATCACATGATATTACATCACATAGAATGATATCACATCACACGATATCACGTGACATGACATTATATGATATGACATCACATTATATGGCATGACATCACATGACTTGACATCACATGACTTGACATCACATGATATGACATGGCATTACATGACGTGGCATCACATGATATGACATCATATGGTATGACATCATATGACATGA